CAACACAAAACCGCATTTCAGACCAGGTACGGTCTATACGAGTTTGTGGTGATGCCTTTTGGTCTTTGCAATGCTCCTGGCACCTTTCAGCACGTTATGAATCGGATATTCCATGACTACTTGGATAAGTTTGTCGTCGTGTACCTCGATGACATACTTATTTTTAGTAAGACTGTCGAGGAACACGTAGCACACTTAGACAAAGTTCTCAGTCTCCTGCGACAGCACAAGTTCAAGATCAACGGTGCACAACCCCGATCCACACTGCGCAGATGCCACTAGCACCCCAAGGACCACCCTGCGCTTCACCTAGCATACAGCAGCGCAGCTTGGCTATGGCTGCGTGCTCTCTCCTACTCGCCCGTGAGAGCGTGAGTGTCAGCCAGCCAGCGCATTGCGCAGCAGCGCTCACGCAGCGTGCAGCCAGCACCCGAATGCCGAATGAGGAGGCAGGCCCTTCCCTATATCAAAGTGGCCTGCCTGCGTCCAGTCCAGGAAACTTCCGGTAGGCCCCGGTAGGCACAGGCCCAGTCACGAAGGGAGCAGGCCTAGGGCCTGAAGTGGTTGCATGCGCCCAACTGCTTTCGGCCTGTGTTTGGCCTGGTACCCGTATCCAGCCCAGGCCCTGCTTCACATTCATTTGCACAGGCGGCCCAAGGCCTGGATTCATTCAACCAACTGGCGCAATGCAACTGTCTGAATTTCCCCGTCGCGGGGTACCCTGAAGAATGAGGCCCGAAGGGCCTGTCGTGCCTGCCTTCACTTAGGGCGGCCGACCTTGTTGCAGATAGGGCCCCGTAGGGGCTAAGCGGGCGTAGCCTCGCANGGCCCCGTAGGGGCTAAGCGGGCGTAGCCTCGCATTCCCTCCTCCATATCTTCGTTMGTCCTCTTCGAAGATCAATCTGTAGCCATCTGGCGCTTTCCTTTCAGTGCATCCTTCTCATAGCGGGCAACGATTTGAGGAGCGGTCTGCATCAGTTCCTCCCGAGTAAACCACCGGTCCTCCTTCGGATCGGTATGATGTCTGAAGTGGACTCGGAACTGCAGCTTTGGTTTTGGAGGACGTCCCCTTCCTGGAGGCTTTTGAACTGGCATCTCCCTGTGGTCAACGATATCATCGATGTCGACTTCTCCGTCCATGGTTGGGGGCAGCATGGATCGACGAGAGGGAAACTGGTCAGTTTCCTTGAAGGCAGCGAGCTTAGAGGCGTGAAAGACTGGGTAAGTTCTGAGATGACCAGGGATACGGATGACATATGATGGACCATGCGGATCTGTCCCTACTACGYCTAAAACTTCCCAAGGTCCAAAGTACTGAGGCATGAGTTTGCGGGATATCCCGAACTCCTGTCCCAGTTCTGAAGATTTGACCCAGACTCTGTCCCCTACCTGAAATGTAGAAGGGCGGCGGTGTCTATTCTCAGACTCTATCATTGCTGCCTGTGCCTTCTGCATGTGTTCTACAGCCTCCTGCATCTTCTGTTCATATCTATAGGCGAAGTCCAGAGTGCCCGGTGTAGCAGTTGGCTGGTTGTCTGGAAGTAGGAAATCTAAGGGCAGTCTAGGTTTGAATGTCAGTTGTAGACTGTTAGGACTCGTCCCGGTAGCACTGTGCACAGCGTTGTTATATAGACTAGCGACTAGACCAAGCTTTTCGTCCTAGTCTACCTGATTGGGCTTCATGTAGTGCCTCAACAGGTGTTGCACAGCGCAGTTCATTTGTTCAACCTGGCCATTAGCTTCTGGATGATTTCCAGAAGTCATCTGCAGACTGGTTCCTGAGCGGCAGAGATAAGGTCCTCAGGTACGAAGTTAGCAGGACCTGGGGGTCATAGCGTACCCCTGGAACACAAATCAAACGCTCCACAGCGTCGGTGGCATCCCTTACTGACTTAAACTGCCGCGTGTGCAGTGTCAGAATCGCATCAGTGGCCTTTTGAGCCTCCTGCGGATCATGYCACCTGTCTTCCACCATTTTCAGGAAGTCCTCCAATTTTTGAGAGGCTGCCCAAGAGCGGAAGTCATGACCGTACCCCTGGAGTTGCACTAACCCACTCAACCATCTCGCTGCACTACCCTCCAGGTAGGACGCAGCCACAAGCACTTCTTCGTGTGGCAAGGTGAGTTTACACCTGACGTAGACTGGCACCGCCCTCAACCAAGTGTCGAGGTCTTCGCCTCTCTTGTCTCCTGTAAATGGTTTGGGAGCGGCGATGGCCGTCTTTGGAACCCACTGACTTTGTCCCGGTCCCTGCACCAACCCGGGCTGTGGACCCGGCGATACAGGTTGTTGTGCTAGTTGCAGGGGCTGTGTGCCCTGAGGTTGCACTAACTACGAGACAGCAGGCTGCGTGGTGACTGCAACCTGTGACGGACTTGGAGTAAACACTGTCTGAACAAGAACCTGCAAACTACTCCCTGCTGTTACCCCTCCTGACAGAGGTATGCCCAGGGAAACGATAGCAACCGATGAAGGGGCTACATATGGGGATACCCCAGTCACCGGTGGAACAAAAAGAGGAGGATATGGCACTGACCAGGCACCAGGCCCTGCTGGTGATGGTGTTGCCTGAGCACGCCCTGCCAACACGGCTAGGCTTTGTTGAATGTCCTGAAGGAGGGTAGTTTGATGCTCCTGCATCTCAATTACACCTAGCAGGGCCCTCCTAACTACCATCACATCCTCATCCATATGCGTCAGGTCCATCGTCTCTAACTCCTCTATGTCTGTCCCTCTCTTTTCCATCCTGGCTCTTCTTCTAATCATCATCTCTTTCTCCCTTTTTATCTTTCCTAATGCCTGCTGTAGCTGTGCCTCTTGCAGGGCTGCCTGCTGGATGGCGACATCCTCTGGGGACAACACCGCAGGCTGGCTTGCCATTAAGCCAGTGGACTGACTCACGGTCTGCACGACCGTGGACCCGGCGGTACCTGAACTTCCGGCTTGGGAAGTCTGCTGTGCAGACGTGCTCATGGATGTGGTAGCCATGGCTGCTATAGCACTCGCCTCGCTAGCAAATGCCCTGCTGGCCTCAGCTGCTCTAGCTCTCCTTTCCCTTTCTCGTTGGAACAGTTCCTTATCACCCTCTGATCCTAAAGACACATGGGATACCGGTCCTCTAGCCGATCGTAAAGTCCTGCGGTCGTCCTCTCCGGTGTCCTCCACGTCGCTCATAGGCTACAACAATGTGCACTGTTCGCACTAGATCATTCTAGATGCCTACCACAGCTTAGTACACAGACCAAATAATTAGTGGTGGCTATCAGAAAAGATCTCATTTGGGGTCAACAGGTAAGTGAGGTTCCTATTGTCAATACTATTTTTAGCAAGATTAGTTCCCAAACAGAAAAAACATCAGGAATAAATAATATTCTAAACTAATGNTCGGATGATCTGGCTGATCAAGAGGCAATTTAACGTCCGCCCCCAAGTGACATCAGGAATTATTTTACTTCGCAGCAGGATGACGATCACAGCCAGATCAGAGCCGAGTCCCCAGCCAGAAATGTTTATAGACGGTCTGGTAAGCGTCTGTAGAGGCTACCGCACTCGAGTTAACCCCTATCATGCGCAAGCAGCAGAACCAACGACTTGCAGCGAAGCATGCGTGTACTACACCCAGTGGGTTGGGATGGTCACCGTGACCCAATGCTTCGTCTAGGGCCCTTCAAGAAGCTCCGCCCGTCTTCCCCCAGATGCTTCACGTGAACAATCACGACTCTCAAGGTTGAGCGCACACGACACCTCACGATGAGAGGACTCTGAAGACAAAACTCACAACCTCACGGTAAGAAGTGATGAAGAGGGTAGATAAGGTTAAGAGCAACGTACCTCATTCATGCTGCCCCCAACCACAAAGATAATCTCACCAGATGACCTGAAGATGATTGCGATGACCAGTCACAGCATCGGCACAACCAGCATTTCGCCGTTCCACCTCAGCCTCAATCACCAAACAGGTAGTTCTCATCACACTGCGAAAACCCAATATTCACACCATAGCCTTCCAGGCGATGCCCCTCACCACCTGGGTCGCCTTCACAMTCGTCTCCACCYTCCTCACTACACACCACTTASGGCCAAACTCTCCCAGCAGACCGCATGTATGTACCGTATAGGGCAGAAGACAAGCGCCAGATGAGCGCAATCGTACCACAGCTCTGATACCAAATTGCAAGGAAGATRAGCATTAGCGAACTTYRGCAATCAAACAGCATCATACATATGAGCCCAGATAKTCTTGACCTCGAACCACAGCAGACTRGCATCACGAGATACACCAAATAAGAACACACCAAGAGTTCAAAATTGACAATGCTGAAGAAGTCCCATCATCATCAACTGCGAACCAGAGTTGATATCCTATTGGCGCTCGGCGCCCAGACTACAGGTGGCAGATCCTATCTAACCTATACTATGAAGCAGAATGATGACATCAACAGCGTTCCCGAAGTACGAGCATATGGCGACCAATGTCGCACGCTTCAGCACCAGGTATGTCTCTCGTAACACTCACAACCCCGATCCACACCGCACAGATGCCACTAGCACCTGAATTTCCCCGTTGCGGGGTACCCTGAAGAATGAGGCCCGAAGGGCCTGTCGTGCCTGCCTTCACTTAGGGCGGCCGACCTTGTTGCAGATAGGGCCCCGTAGGGGCTAAGCGGGCGTAGCCTCGCAATGTGGTCTCTCCTCTGATTACGGCTTCTGGCTCGATGAACCAGGATGTGATTCGTATCATCACACAATCAGTTCGAGAACATTTTTTTTTCTCCCTTTTTCCTTTTGTTTTTCCTATCAAAGAGGATGTTTTTCCTTAACATTATTGTATCCATCTGATGGCGACGAGGATTTGAACTTGCGATCTGTTTACCAACAACAGGGGCTAGGTCCCTCCAGTCATGTTGATTCTTCTTCGTTTCTGTCATGTCATAAATGGATCTGCACAATCTAAGCATCAAACAACAGAGAACCCAAGCAGGTAATACGCCAGGACTGGAACCCGTGATCTAATTATCAACAGCAGCGGTAGGGCCCCCCACTTGGGGGGATTCTTCATTTCTGGCGGCGGGTCGGCACAATACTACAGTAGGTGCCAAACAACAAAGAACCCGGGCAGATAATGTTGGCAGGTTTTGAACTCATGATCTGTTTATCAACAGCCGGGGCTAGGCGCCCCCACATGCGTGAATTCTTCATTTCTAATCATCAATCTCCCCGCACAATCTAAGGGTCAACAGCAGAGAATCTGGGCGGGTAAATAAGACCCCACCCCAGGTGTATCTTCTGTACAGAATTCAGTATCCATCCTCATCCACTAAAATTACATGCATTTCATGCATTTCGACAGGGGTATCAAGAAAGACGTTTACGGCCAATGTATAAAGTGCCTGGATATATTGCAGTCCAGAATCCAGATGGATTTGGAATGTTGCAGAGTGGAACAAGGTGCATAGTCACAGTGAGTGCCCTTTCTGACGGTGACGGGATGCAATTGTCATCCTAAAACCCAGGACTTAGGGCATTGCCACACCACTGTCGAAACCAAAAACGAACGAATGCATCTTCCCACAGAGAAGGGCAAGGTGCATCTGTTACTATGAATAGCACTGGATGCATCTTACCACTTTCTGCGGCAGATGCATTCGTTCTCTTTTCATTTCGGCTGCCGAAGCAAAATGGCTGGCCATGCCAGCCGAAATGAGGCCTGCGCCAGTTCAATTTTCTTTGGCGTGCAATTGTTGGAGTGCCATCGGGCACCCTAACACGATGGCACTCTAACAAACAATGTTCCAAATTTGCTATTCTATGCTGGGAGGAGTGGCCACAATAGGAGCAGATCGTGGACAGCATCCCCTTTTGTTCCTATTGTGGTTGCTCCTCCCAATGTAGAATAGCAAATTGTTGAGCGGGGCACTATCCAAGTCTGGTGTAGGCAAACTTTTGCGCAGGATTTGCCACTGGACGGTGCGATGGTAGGTAGGCATAATGTGCGCATACGGTGCCCAAGGAAGATATGCAACATCTGTTTCTTCTAATGGGGAATCCCTACTGCAGCTTTTCGTCAGGTGATGCCTTGTGGCAGTCCACGCCCTTTTGACCCAGGGGCCGACGAGATATCAAGACGTTTGCAAATCCACACGCTTTTTTTGCCAGTATGGGCTATGCACTTATGGAAATTTACTTCCCTTTAGAAAAGTGTTTTCTGTTGAGTTATCTATACCCCATATAATCGTCTACCCAGATCCCTTCCTGTGATCTTGAATACCCGAGCCCTAGTTCTGAGTTTGAATTTTGCTGTGTACAGTTTCGGTGGAGAGTGACGTGCAATGAACCCAGTCCCATGGAAAGCTCGTCAATATCAAGATACAAAATGTCTCAGCGCAGAATCAATGTCTCCAAAAATCGTACATCAAAATCATACTTGCTGCGAAAGTATCTAAATGTCTCGTAACCAGAGAAGAAGCTGAGGGGAGAGAGATGAGACTTGGAGGGTGGAAGAGAGTATCCATCAGCCATGTAGACAGAGCTCCCTTGCAAGCCCACTTCTTCTTCGGGCACCTCCATACTCGCCACGTCAGCAAACAGTCTCCCTCGACCAGACAGAGCAGATTCCAGCATGGCGCCCATCCCCCAGCCACGTCAGCAACAGCCTGCGAGGATGGCGCAGACTCCTTCTGAAGATGTACTTTTCTCAATCATCCATTCTCACAGCCCTGATCCTCCTCCTCCTCGCCCGTACTCCATCAATGTCGTAATCAGTGTGGCAAGAGCCGTGTCAGCATAATCGATTGCACAGCTGGCGCCGTAGACAGAGAATGGCGCCAGCATAAAGCTCTGGCAGTCCTGCGTCGTCGCATCAGCATCAAGCCAGCATAGAGCCAGCATAGTGCCAGCGTCAATCCAGCGTCAAGCAGCAAGTGCAAGACTGAATGTCTTCCAGCAGGGCTGGGTCAACCTTATAGTGTTGACTCATGTTGACCAGCCTCTGGACAAAACGGATACGATGGCCCAGATTGTCTGTTAGCCAATGGCCTGGATCTCGTACAGTTGCAGATTTCCACTTGGTCTCGATTCCTTCCGGATACCTGCAGACAACCAAAGGTGTGTGTCTGATCTACAGCCGAGGCTAGATTCATGTTGACTTTGACTCGTGGGCCTAACTTCCCGAGCTGAGGTTGACTGTTGACTTTCCCAAGGTCAACTGTCTCACGTTGGGCCTCTGAAGGCCAGATCTGGCCTTGCCTTCGGTACCCCACAGCTGTAGGCCTTCGGGCAGGCGTTTTCATGACTTGGGCGTGACCTTTGACCCCCGTTTCGGGCTTTGACCAAAAGTGACGACCCACAGCCCACGGCCGCTGCATATTTGAGCTGAGTTATTGCAGACGTGAAAAATAGTGGAAAACCAACTGGCCTAACTCAGTCAGTACACCCCTGAACTGTTGAAAACCAGACCCGAGTTCGAACTCCACTGGAAGCAGATGAGTTACATACTATAATTCCGAATTACCTAGGGCCTGTCAGTTCTATGATGATGCCGCAAGGCCGTCCGACGCCCTTTAAAAAAAAAAAAAAAAAAAAGGTGGAAAAAGACCGCACAATACAGCGTCTGTTTTGTGCGTGTCAGTACCACTCGTTCAATTCTCAGGTAGTTATCTCAACGTCGTTGTGGGCACTTTTGCATTGCAATTCCACTGGGTGACAAAAAAAAACGACAACAACGAGAACGTTCAAAACCCCCAGAGGAAAACGTACAAGCATTTTAGAGCAGGGGACTCGGTTAAGCTACGTTAGGCATATGGCCTCGGGCTTCGGGTCCCTGAACCTAAACTGGGTAATGGTCCCGAAAGCACTTGAGCTCTGTATCCGGGTTGTTTTGTGAGGGTTCACAGCCTCATTCTTGTTGTATTTGCAATAAAGGAACCCTCTCCTTTCCCGCCCCCCCCCCCCCCCCCCCTCCACCCCTCCAAAAAAAAGGATGCACTTTGCAGCGAAATGCATCCACATTCACTCACAGAAAAATGGTGAGGTGAAAATGTGCACTGTCCGTTGACCCTCTGGTGTGGCTGGATGACCGATACTGAAACACTTGTCCGTAATCCAGCGATTCCCCAAAATGGGCTGTCTCTCCACCTCCGCCCAACGCTCCAGAGGTGGGCAATCAGTGGGGGGAAGCCACGATATGGTTTCTGGCCCGGCTAATAAAAACCTGGAGGAAGCCCCCCCCACACACAGATTGCCCACCTCTGGAGCGATGGGCGGAGGTGGCGAGA